TGGGCGCTGGCCCCGGGAGCCTCATTCACCCTTCTGTGGGCCTGTCAGTCCCTCAGCCTCTCAGCCAGGGCCTGGTAGAGCAGGGTGGGATGAGCAGAGCCAGCCTAGGAGGATGGAGGAGCTGGTGCGTGACTAGAGCAGGGACACACAGAGGAGACACCAGAAGCCTGCTATCCGCCCGAGGAGCCAGGCAGCTGAAGAGGTAACACAGGGCTAACCCAAGCACGGAAGGAGGGGTGGACCCTTGCCTGCCCCCGTCTACCCTCCCCACCCAGCTGCCCCAGCAGAGGGAGCTCGCTTGGCACCCCACCTGCTCCACCCAGTGCTGAGGCCATCTGAGCAGAGTGAAGATGTCAAAGAGAAAACCCCAAATCGGATTGAGGCTCCTGTTCCCCCTTAATGAGGTTCATTACCGGCTGCTCTGATCCTTGTAAAACCCAGCAGACCGGATTGGGGGCAGGCTCTCTAATCTGGTTGACTCCTCCCCGCTGAGCAGACAGCCCAGGCCGGTGGCTCTGGGCTCTCACAAACAAGCCCTCACTTTCCTGGAGATGTAGGAGGCCTGGCTGACGACGGCCAGGCAGCTGCAGGCAAGGTTCCTGGAGCAGAACTGAGAACCCTGGGGCAGGTGCTCCCCGGGAGGGTGGGGACAGAAGGAGGCGGGATTGTGGGGCTAGAGGCACGGAGAGCTCTGTGGGCAGTGGAGGGGGGCGCCCATCCAGGAGAGAGGGGCTGGGACAAGGGCACCTTGTCCCCCGTAGGCCAGGAGTTAAGTGAGCTGGCTGGATCCCAGGTGAGGCTGGGTTTTGCGAATTCTATCCAGACCTGGACACTATGTCTCCAAGTAGCAAGTTAAAGAACACACCGGTGCTTGCCTTAACGAAAATAATTTATTCCACAGCCTCCCTAACAGTGGGGTAGCGTGGGAATCAGCATGTGTACAGCGCTGTCCTCCTCCTCTCTGAAGCTTTTAACCTCTACACGATGGCAGGTGGGCCCACAAGGGGAACACTCCCGTCATTCCAGCTCCCTCCACGTTCAAAGGTGAGCATCTATTTTGGAGACTAAAATCAAAGGCCAAAAGACCCAGCTCTGAGAAGGGTGGAGACCAATAGGGAGAAGCCAAAGCACATTCAAAGCAAACGCTTCACTGGACCTCTCACAGCTAAGGCACTAGAGGCCCCACCAGCCCTCCCTAGACCACACACCACCTGCTGGTCAGGGCCCGCCGAGCCAGCCACTCCCTGCGCCCAGTGCCACCACCACACCAGCTCCAGCCTGTGCCCATCCTGCAGCAGAGGTTTGAGAAGGAGCCAGCCAGAGGGTCTCCTACCACAGACCTCACCTGGGAGACCAGCATGACTTCTAGAAGCTTCCATACCCCACCCTAAAGCCAAACCCCGCCCAGGGGGTCTGAGGGGCTGCAGGACAGGCAAGCACAGAGGCCAGAGGCAGTCCTTCCTTCTCTGGTGCAAAAAGTTCTTCATATCCAGAAGGGAGCAGGATGGACGGAGTCCTGGGATGCGGGGAGGAGTTCCACTCCAGGTCCCCCAGCCCCAGGGCCCCTCCTCGGGAGATGGGAAACTTTGGAAACTGTGGCCTCACTTGCCCCAGTTTAGGGCCAACACCAAGCGGGAGACATTGAAGCTTCAGCGAGAATGAGGCAGGACTTCAAATAAGCTGAAAAAGAGGAATTTGGTGCTGAGAGGCCAAGGATGGAGCCGCCCAACCCCACTGCCCAAGGCTGCCCTCCCCCTGTGCTAGCAGATGACCCTGGGTCCTGTGCATGTCTTTGTGTCTATGGAACACCCCGTTCCAGAATGTGCCAGGAGGTTCACTAGAGCAACTGGTTTTCCTGGATTTCCTTGGACAAGGAGCAAGGGAGGAGGGGAAGAGGGTAGGGGGCGGGAAGAGTCCCTGGATGGCAGCTCCCTCTCCTGCCCCCTCCCAAGTTGGACAGTTCAGGCTGTGAGGTGGCTGGCATGGCCCTTCAGGGTCCTCATCCTGGCCCGGAAGTAGGTGTATACGGCCAGCAGGCCCATGAAGGACAGGGAGTAGAGCCCCACACAGAGGCTGATGTCCAGGTGGGAGATGTTCCCTTCCAACACCTGCAGCCACTGGCCCTGCCTGGCCCCCGCCTCGGGCTCCCCCTCAGGGATGCTGGCCAGCTGCTTGGAGCTGCGGCCCACTCGCCTCAGCTCTGCAGGGCCTCTGGGGAGGTTCTTCTCGGCCAGGAACTCAGCCAGCAACACGGCTCCTGTGTCTTGCCTGGTCAAGCGTTCCTGCTCTTTTGGCTGCTGAAGCTCTGCTATGTGCTCAGGAGGTCCCCAGTCTGGCTCAGCTGTGGCTGTGCCAAGACCAGGGTGCACCCCCTGGGGGTGACTTGCCCCAAGTCCCTCTGCTGGAACATCTGAGACAGTGGCTCCAGGGAGCTTTGTCCCTGGGTCCACCGTGGCCTCAGCCTTCTCAGGGCCCAGAGTAAAATTGCCAATCGCCAGCTCCAGCTCCACCTGCTTTGGGGGGACTCCCATCCTCTGTGCACCCCTCCGGGGGCTCAGCCCAGCTGAAGGAAGGCCCAGGACGATGTTGCTCGGGGAGAAGTGGGTCTTGAGGAAGGTGAGGGTGTTGCCCAGGTCCCACACGGGCGCACCCCGGAGTTCGTTGTGGCAGGCGGAACAGAGCTCGCGGGGTGGCCACTGCACCTTGGGGAACTGGGGGTCCTCGCTGGGGGCACCTGGGGAGGAAGCACACACAGGCTGGCTGTGACCCACTGGCCACCCGACAACGCAGACCTCATTCTTCCGTTTAGAACGGCAGTTTCCCCATCTGCAAAAATGGGGCACGAGAGGGCAGATGAAAAACCTAGCACAGGGCCTGGCCCACAGTGGAGCCCAATAATAGGGCCTTGCTGGGCGGGCAAGAAGGACTCCTTCCCGCCCCTCCCCGCCCCAGGACCACCGCAGTTTCCCTTCCAGTCCCTTCCCCGTGTTAACCCACAGTCTCCCTTTGCCGACCTCGCTGCTGGCCTGTACCCCGGGACCAGATGTGGGAGAGGGCAGGGAGACTCAGATGACCTGTCTCCCAGTCTTTGGTTGGTCTCCTAGTATTTATCTTTTTGTGTGTTTTCTGAAATTTCCCAAGTCTTGTACAGTGGAGATACATTCATTTTGTAATTAAAGGGAAGATGTTTTTAGAACAAGAGTTCAAGGCACAAGGTAGTTATGAGGCATTCTCCTTTACCCCCCTCTCCCCCCGCAGCCCTCTGGGGTAGGGAAGAGTTAGTGGAATCTCCGCCTCAGGTGGGCCCCAGGGGGTGGGGTGTGGGGGTGTGGGGAGGCCTGGGGCCTGGACGGGGGGTGGGGTGGGTGGGGGAGGAGCACTCAGTCAGGAAGTTGCCCTGCCCACCAGGCTTTTGGAACCCCAAGCAGGGCCGGTACTGTGGGCAGAAGCTCAGGCTGCGTCCCAGAGGGCCTGCCACGGGCCCCTGGCGCAGCGCCACCTGGGGAATGCCAGTCAGCCCACGTCTCTTGGAGGAGGCCCCCTCTCCTAGGGGCTTTAATAGTGGGGGGGAAAGGTGCTGGCCAGAATGAAGCAGCAGTAGCAAGTGACGTGAAAAACAGAATGGTTATTTTGGGGAGGGAGCAACGAGCAGATTCTGAGGATCTGGCGGGAAGCGGTGCTGACCGGGCCCTGCGGTGTGAGCGCTCCACTTGCACCTGCTCATTGTTACTAGCTGATCTGAAAGGAGCCCTGTAGAGAGAGCAGCGTACCGCCTTCCTTCCCGGCCCCTCGGCAAGTAGCACAGGCGGCAGCAGCTGGGCTCTGAGGGAAGCTGGGAGCCTGCCTGCTGAGGTCATGGGGCTAGGAGGGTCAAACGGAGCATTTGGTGGCAGGGGTGGGGCAGGGGGAGAAGGGGAGGGGGGAGACACAGGCACGTGTCTTCTTTTCAAAGTCCACCAGGAGGCCCCAGGAGATGAAGACCAAGTGCAGCCCCTGCACAGCCACCTGCTCCGCTGCTCCTTCAACCCCCGCCCCCGGCCTCATCCCCACGTCCCACCCCTGGGGGGTCCGTGGCAGCCAAGCCCACTTCCTCTCTCCCCACAGACAAGCCCAGGCTCCCACCCGCAGATGGCTCCCTCCCCACCCACTAGCTTCTGGCCACCCCCGTCCCCAACCCCAGTTTAATGCCTTTCCCTGTCGGACCCATCAGACTCCTGTGCACGGGGAACAGAGAGCACTGTAAATGAGGGCAACTCAGAAGATAAGGCTCCCCGCTGGTATCTCTAGGAAGGACCTGGTTTTTCTTTTCAAGCACATTTTATCAGTAGACCCCTCCCAGGGGGTGGAAAGGCCCAGTTTTCTCCTCTCTATTGGTTTGAGTAAGGGACCAATGGCCAGAAAGCTCAGCAGGGGAGGTAGGAAGGGGCCCCAACAGGCCAGCCGGAGGGGCCCTGGTGAGGGGGAGAGAGTGAACAATGGCATTGGCGTTTTAAGACCAGAATCTCGGAGTGTCAAAGCTCTGTTTCCTCATCTAGAAGATGGGTCTAATGATACTGACATGCATCAGCAGGGCTGGCCAAGCGTGCGAAAGGGCTCCGGGCCGGAGGAGCACCGTGAAACACAGGGTGTTACCTGTGGGCAACGAAGTTCCCATCTCCTGCCTCTGGTCCAAGACTCCAAAGTTCCCCCACCTCATCCACCCCCTGCAGGTGACCCCAGCCTTGGAGGTGGCCCTTCCCTACCTGCGAGGCGGGCATTGACCTTGTTGTGGCTAGACCAGAACCAGAGGGCGGCGCTGTTGGGACTGGCCACCAGGTGCATGGAGGCAGAGGCCATCTGCTCGAAGTGGCGCGCGCAGTCCCGGCAGCCGAAGAAGAAGCGGACGTAGCCCCGGATGGCCTGCAGCACCTCCTGGGCCTTGGCTGCAGGGGAGAGGACGCGCCAGTCACAGGCTGCTTGCCGCTGCCGGCCCCAACGCTGCCCCCGCCACAGGCCCACCGTGATCACCCCTGCTCAGGGAACACATACCCCAGCTATGAGGGGCCCAGGGTCTCTGTGCCTACTTCACCTCCCAGGGGTCGCTTTGAGTTGATCCCATCTCCTCCCAAACTCTTAAACCTCAGCCTCTATTTTCTGGCACTTATCCAGGCCTGCATCACTTACTGACACTTAGGATAAAGTCCAAACCCATCATAGTGATGCTCAGGCCCTTTGAGATGCGGCTGGAGAAGAAGGCAGGGCCAGAGTGCCCACCACCCAAACCCTGGGCCTCTACTCTGCCCCTCCTGCTTTAGGCTTCCTGTTTCAACTTGCTCCCCATCATGCCTCCTCCCCAGGGCACTACAACCAGAGTCCCTCCTGATCTGGCTCTGCGCACCCCGTAATTTGTCTCCATCTCCGCTTGGCCCCCCATTCCCTCCCACTGGGCCCTCTGGACTGGCATCAGCACAGGCTCTGAATACCCCGCCACCTTCTTGCTCTGACACCTGGCTCCTCCTCCCTGAAGACACCGCTGTTCCCCCAACCCACCCCTCCTAAACCCCTTTGTCTTCCACACTTCAAATAGCTCAGGGCTGGAGGTGGCGGGAGTACCCTCCCTCCCTGCTGTTGGCTGCTTCCAAACTCTCTCTCCTTCCTGCTGCAAAACTCCTTAAAAGCCCATCTCCTAGTCTCACCCCTCCATCCACTAGGACTCCAGCACCCTGCTCTCTGTCCTGCCTACCCCCATTCCCCGCACCGTCAGGCAACTTCAGGGCCCACACCAATCCACGCCTCAATTTTCACCTCAGCGTCCCCCTCGGCTCCTGCATCTACCTCTGCCACCACCCCACCGCCTGCCCTGCAGCTTACAGACTCACCTCCCACCTGCCCTCACGCTCTGGACCTCACCCCCCTCACCTCCTCCAAGATTTTACTCCTGTAAATATTTCTTTTTGTTATGACATCATCAACTTCTCCCTTGCATGGAAGAACGTATACCAACAGGTAAAAACCACTACAATAGAGAAACCCCTTCTCTGGTCCCAGTGACGCCCAAATCGCTCCCCCATTATCCTCGATTTCTCCCCTGCTCTTCACTCTTCAGCCCAATCCACCCAGGCCTTTCTCTCCTCTCATCCACCAGAACAGCTCTGGCCAGGGAGGTCCTCACCCGGCACCCCCTCCCAGGCACAGTGCTCTCCCTCTTGGAACTCTCTATCTGGGGAGCCCTCTTCAAACCGCAGTGGCTGCTCCTTCTTCGTCGCCTTTGCTGGCCCCGGCTCCCCTAGCAGAGGTCTGGGTGCTGAATGCCCCAGAGCCAGGCCTCAGCATTCTTTTCTGCCCACCCACTAATGGGCTCAGCCAGTCCGAGGCCACGGGATTTGTATCGCTACCCTGGACCTCTCCCCAGAGCTCCAGACTCAGCTGTCTCCATCTCCGTGCAGATGCCCACAGGCAGAGACCATTAAACACGCCCTCCCCCATCTACTCCCCCCCACCCCTGAGCCTTCTCATTTCTTGGCTCGTAGGACCAGCATCCATCCACCCGACGTTCAGGCCCAACAAGTCCATGGTCCAACCAAAGTCTCTGATCTTGCATTTTCTTCATCACTGAGTCCTATCAGCTCTACCTTTAAAATACCCCCCAAATATTTCACGTGCACACCTACCGCTCTAGTCCCAGCCACCACCACTCGTCTCCTGGGCCAGTTCCACAACTTCCCAATTGGCTGTCCTGCCTCCATCATGCGCCCTGTGGCCCACCCTCCACCCAGTAATCATCTCTAAAGCACTGATCGTCTGTATCACTCCCCTGCTTGAGGTCTCCAGGAGATTCTCATAACGCAGAAACTGAAATCCAGCTCCCTCCTTCACCAGGACCTCCATGTGCCCAACCCTTCTGCCTCCCCGACTCCCAGGCCCTGCCACGCCGGCCTCCTATGGGTGCTGCAAACACGCCAGACACGTGCCCTGCACTTGCTAGTCCCTGATCTGTGTTTCGGGCTGCACAGCATCCTCTGAAATTCTCAGGCTGAAGTCCTAACCCCAGTACTTCAGAATGTGACTGTATTCAGACAGAGGGTCTTTAAAGAGGTGACTCGGTGAGAATGAGGTCATCGGGGTGTATCCTGATCTGATGTGACTGGTGTCCTCGTAAGAAGAGGAAATTTGGACCCAGACAGGCACACACACAGTGAGGACCACGTGAAGATGCAGGGTGAAGATGGCCATCTATAAAACCAAGGAGAGGCCTCAGCAGAACCGACTCTGCCAACACTTTCGTCATGGACTTCCAGCCTCCAAAACCGAGCAAATGCATTTCTGTTGTACAGCGCTCTGCTATGCGGCCTGAGTGGACTCAGACAGCCAGGAAGGCTCGCGGCCTGGATGTCCCACTGCTGCCCCCCTCTCACCAGTCGGGTCTCAGTGCAGGGGCACAGCCCCAGAGAAGCCTTCCCCAGCCAGCCAGCCTGTCTAAACACAGCAGCCCCTCCCCAGCCCCTCTCCCGCACCACTTGGCTCTGTCTTCTTCACAGATTTATCATCACACCTGAAATGATCTATCTGTGTGTTTACTGTCTGCCTCCTGCCACTGGAATACTGTCCCCTTGAGGCAGGGACTTCTGGCTGCATGCATCACCGTACCCCACCCCCAGAGCAGGCTTGGTTCTCGGAGACACTTCATAAATACTGGCTGACAGACTGATGGCTGTCCATGTGCCCAGCAGCTCCTCTAATTCCCCCCTGCCTCTGCACAGGCTGTCCCCTCTGTTGGGGACCCTGTCCATCCGCTGACTTTTACTTACATCCTCTTGCCCTTCCAGACAGCGTGGAACACCCTCCTCTCCCCCTTGGCCCTGGGCCCTGCAGGGCAGCCCTTGGCCCACCGGTCTCACAGTCCACTGGGAGCAGGGACATCTCCTGTCCACCTCTGTATCCTCCAGGCTGAGCCAGGGCCTGGTCCCCCAGTGAACGTGGACTGAATTGGACGTCCACCCGTTCGGCTGTTACGTGTGGCTGTGAGACAGTGTGGGTCGTGGAGAGCAGCTGTGTGGTTTGGGGACAAAATAGGGCAAAGAGGGCAGAGTGCTTCCCATAGAAAATGATTTTTTCAGTGGGAAATACAGTAAAATTGTTCAGAGTCCATGGTATCAGCCACGTAAATTGTGAAAGAGACCAAATTCTTTTATGGGAGTATAAAAAAATAGAACCACAAACTTTTCATGAAGACTAAAAATAAAGCAAGCTTGCAGCTATGAGAAATCCAGGGAGAAGCTACACACCCCCGAGTTTGGTGGCTACTCCAGGCCTGCCCCACTCTGGTTCCACGCTGGTTGTGTGTGGACAGCTGCAAACACAGACTGCCCTAAGTCCGGGCCTGCAGCAGGGAGCCGGGGAGGGCAGGGCAGGGCGGGGCGGGCTGAGGCACGGGGCGCACAGGCCCAGACTCACCTGTCTCTTGTGAGGGGTCGACATGCTGCCGAGCTGCCTGCACAGTCAGGAAGTGGAAGAGGAGCCACAGGGAGCAGGGAAAGCCCCGGAAATGCGGCTCGCTCCCCTGGCAGCCGACCCAGTTCACCTTCTTGGCAATCACAGTGCCCTAAGGGACACATCTGAGTGTGAGTGCATATATAGAGAAGAAACAGGAGCTGGCATGGGGGGTGGGGAGAGTGGCTTGCAGGAGACTCAGAGGTCAGCACACAGTCTGAAGACAAATGGTCCCTCTCTCAGTCTATCACTTTGAAAGTGGCATTTCCCTTTCACTGGCTGCGTCTGTCAAAGGAGTAGCAGATCTGAAAACCCAAGATAGAGGTCAAGCCATGTCCTTATTCCAGCCTCAACTTTCCCATCTATAGAAGGGGTTGATCTCCGAGGTCCCTTCAAGCTTTGACATTGCAAACGTCTGCAAGGTTTTGTGCCTCTGCTGGCTGACACGGCCCACCTGTGTCAACAGCTGTGTGAGCAGGAGCCCAGAGAGCTGCCCCTGGAGAGAACCAGAGCGGATGAGCAGGATGGGCCTGGAGGCAGCAGAGAGCTGTAGTTAAAATCTCTCTCACACCCATGGTCTCACAATTGGTTCTAAACCTCAGTGCAACCACTTACGGGCTGCACGATCTTAGACAAGTTGCTGGACCTCAGTGTCATCATCTGCTTAAGGGGGCTATGTCTGCCTTCCCCCAGCTTGGTGAGGATTGCGTGAGGTATGCGGAGAGAGCTCAGTAAGGAGCAGGTTACTAATTACTAACCGAAGGACCCAACCAAGATCACTGACTCCTTCCTGAATGCAGGCTGGTGACGGAGGAGAGAGGTGACAGGGTTAACCCCTTCCACTCCCAGAGATGGAGATCTTCCTTCACCCCCACCCTACCCCAGACTCACCTCCTTCCTGTTGTCCAGGGCAGTTTTAAAGAAACCGTAGGGGATTTTCCTTCTCTGCTGTTTCCTGAGCCAGTCATTCACGGAGTGCAGGAAGTTCTGGACTAAGGGCTGGCCAGGGTAGTACTGCAGGGGGAACAGGCAGGCTGCAGGGTGAGAAGCCATCCCGGCGGAGTCCCACAGTCCCGGGGAGGGCAGGGGGCCAGGCTGAACTGGGCTGGACCCGTCTTTTGGGGATGTTCCAAAACTACTAGGAAAACATTCTGCCTAAGACTCAAACGCGGGCTCCTCCCTACCTTTACTCTGGGGCACCCCGGAAGGCGTGGGGGAGGGGTGGCAGAGGCTCTCAGTGGCCCTCTCCAGGCTGCAGGCTCCTGGGCTGACCCCTGACCACATGCCCACTGGGAGGAAGGCTGAGCACACGGTCCTCTGCTCAGGTGATCTGCTAGAGCGGCCGACTCACTGGCTAACTGGCCGGCTGGGCTAGGTGGGCAAATGGGCTTTCATTTGCATTCCATGGGCTGCCAGTGGGGACAAGGGAGCCCAGGGGCTTACAGCCGAGATCCAGATCTTGATGGGAACTCCCAACAGTCTCTGAGGAGCATGAAAAGCTACTCTGACAATAAGTCAACCCAAATCTGATTAGTATCAGCGCTTTAAAACCACAAGGACTCCAGGGAGGAGGACGGGTGCGTGTGCACACGTGTGGGCAGGCACAAACACACCCGGGGTGGGGGGGTGGGGGAGAGAGAGAGAGGGACACCTAGCAGAGCAGGTCTGATAAACCACCAAGAGGCAGGTCAGGAGGACAACAAGTAGACACTCGGAGGGAAAAGAGCAAAGAAAAACATTTTCGAGAAGAAGGGTGCTGGAGACAGGAATGATCACTAAACAGAAAAACCTGCCAGGGGACCCAGTTCTCTGAGAAAGCCATGGCGTACTCTTATCAAACCTCCAGGTTGTCCCCAAGCAGGAGAAGTGGCCGGAAGGAGCCCTGCGCTTTGATGTGCTCCCTCTCGGTCATTTACACGGGCCTCGGGGCTCTCAACCCAGATTTACAGCTTCAAGTCAGCGTTTCTCACTGACCTTCACCCACTGTCCTGACTTGGAAAGATGACACCCTTCAAGGCCACGGTGTCAGAAGGAAGGATGAATTAAGGGGCTCTGGACTATGGGGAGTCACCTTCTACCCAGAACAGGGAAACCCTGGTGACCGCACGCCACCCAGTGGCCAGTCGTGCCAGCTGCTTCGGTGAGGGAGCAGGGACACCCCGGCTCGGCCGCAGGGCAGTGCCACAGCTGACAGTTCCCCAAGGCTGAGTGGGCAGAGTGAGCTCTGTTACCCTCCAGGGTTTCTGTGCCCCACGCACGTCGTGGGTAAGGGCATGGGTTAGATGACACATGGGTGCACAACACAGCTCAGCCGCTCACTGGCTGGAGGACCTTGGACAAGGTGCTTTACCCCTCTGGGCCTCCATTTCCCCTCTCTGTGACAGGGTAACGCTAGTTTCCACCCCCTGGAGTTTGCTCTGAGAAATACAGATAAGCTAAAACACAAAGGAGCACTTTGCAGAGTCTGACACCCTGTGAGAGCTCAAGAAATGCTAGCTGCTACTATCATTACTACTCAGCAAGAAGCTACCCAAGCCAGGGGAGGCCGGAGTCCTCGCAGTCTCCGGGCTGTGCTGCGCAGCTCAAATAGAGCCCCCCCCAGCCCGCGCCCCGGGCCTCTGCTCCTACGTGGTGTACGCCTCTGCCCCGAGGCCAGCCCGGTCCTCTTGGGCTTCTGGCGGGGAGCACGGCTTCACCCCCAACTCCCGTGGGCAGCTCAGCAGGACCACGGAGAGGGTGCCACTTAGGCCTCTGTCCCACTCAGACATTTCCTGAGCCTCATTCTCTCCCCTCACACTGGCTGCAACGGCCTCACTGGGGGCCAGACCAAAACCAGCTTTGAGTCCAGCTGTGAGATGCAAACAGCAGGCAAGAAACAGCTCCCCTGGGGAGAGTCCTTCAGCATGGACTGGACTGGGGGCTGTGGGCCCCTCTCAGCACTCGGGGGCCCCTCATGTGGCAGGCAGGACAACACACAGGACTGCTGGAGGCCTTTCCCCCTCTGATTCTCTGGGCTGGCCACCCCAGGCCCCAGCGACCTGGGGACCAAGCAGCTCTCAGGGACTCTGAGGAAAGGCTCTAATATCAGGCTGGGCTGAAGAGCAGGGCCCAGTCTGCGTGGGAGGGACGTCTGACTGCCTCAGACTCCACTGCACTCCACGGGCCGGGGCCTCAGTGTAACCACACGTGCGTGTGACTAAGCCAAGGGCGCCAGGGGCAGGGGGCTGGCAAGGGAAGGCCATAGGTCACCCCCAGAGGTAGCCCCAGCTGCCCACAGACCTGCACTGAGAAGGAGGAGCTCAGACCTGGCACCCAGGGCCAAGGGTGGCTGAGTCAGCACTCAGCCTCCGAAAGGGACCAGAGCCCGCATCTGACTCAGCAGTCCTGGGAAGCCAAAGCTTGGGCTTTAAGTAGGGCAGCGCTGGCAGTGGACCCGGAGCCAGAGGGTGGGAGGTGGCGGAAGCAGGTGCAGAGGGAAGAGGCAGTCCGCATCTCACCTTCAGACACGAGGAAAGAGCGAGGCAGAGAAAGGGCACAGGCTCTAAACCTGGGACCTCAGGTCAAATCTGGGCACAACACCTCCTAACCAGAGGCCTAGGGCAGACCATTTGAGCAACCTGTGCCTCTTAACTGGGGTTAACACTTGCCACCCTGCATTGAGATTAAGAGGGTTAAATGCCTGACACATATCAGGTCCTCAGTAAGCAGGAGCTACACTTCCTGGAGTAGCCATGCTGGCAGGAAACTGCACAGGAATAAGGAAGGCATGGCTAAGGCCAGGGAGCCAGGTCAGACTCCAGCCAGTGTTTGGGATGGAAAAGAGGAGACTCAGAAAAGCCTTCTTTCCTTCACTGTGAGGTCCATGGGTCCTGCTTTCCCAAGGACCACAGCAGGGAGTGAGAGACCACTCTCCAGACTCAGCCTGAGGTAGGGACTCAGGCAGGCAGAGCTACAGGCACTGAATTGGCTGGGAACATCCCCAGACAGGGAATACCTGGCCCTGTGTCCCACCCACCATCCTGCACAGGGTGGGGTGGGGGGAGGGGGGTTGTCCCTGGAGGTGCAGGGCTGGGGTTGGGTGTGGCTGAGGCTGCAGGGTAGCAGCCCGTGGTGGACTGGTACAGCTACGGGTCCAGACGTCCAGCCAGACCACCAGCCCCTGACGGAAGAGTTGGGCTGAATCCTCCAGGCGCCTGCTTGCAGGGATGTGCACTGACCCTGGGTGGAGCTGCCGGACAAAGGAGGCCAGGGCCCTGCTCACCTGTGCCAGCACTGCCATGAACTTTTTCAGGGCCACCAGGCGTTGCCCCTCCAGGATGGAGAACTTGCCCACTTCTACCCGGAGGATGTAGTGCAGGGCAGATTCCAGGTCAGCCATGTAGATCTTAGAGCTGAGGACCCAGAGGGAGCCAGAGAGAGAAAAGGGTATTAACCACAGGGCAAGGGCTGGGAAGGTGCACTCAGGGCCGAAGGAGAGAAGAGGAGGCACTACTGATGGTCACAGAGTCCTGTAAGTTAGCACTTGACTCGGACGGTAGCTAGCTGTGTGACCTTGGGTGAATTATTTAACTTCTCTGAGCCTGAATTCCTCATCTATAAGATGGGGATAATAAATTGCTCACAGGTAGGCTGCTGAGAGAATTAAATGAAAGCACAAATGCGAAACTCTCAGCAGCTCCTGGTACAGAGTGAAGTTCCCCCTCCACAGGTCAGCCCCTCCCATCACTCACTAAAGCTGTTTTAATCAGGCCACTAGTGGAAGGTTCAGCTTCATTCTCTGTTCTGAACAAAGACCCCTAGGGACAGACAAGTAGACTAACAGGGGCACCCACACAACACGGTTCTGGAGAAGCTGGGCCTCTTGGAAAGGCCAAGGATTTGGCTGCCCACCAAGGATGGGCACAGGGTGCAGGGGGTGAGCAGAGCACGGTCCCTATTTATTTGGGGGCTGATCCCAGCCCTGATGGAAGGGTTGCAGGCTCCAAGCTCGCTGCTCCACCCCGTGCCCATCATGCTTGAGGGATCTGGGCTCGGGGCCCCGATGGGAATGGCTGCTCCTCTACTCCTGCCTCCTGACACCTGGTGTGCGTTCTCACCTTGTTCTACAGTGGGCTTGCTCTGGGAGCTCAGCCAATTCAATCCACCCCTCCAGCCTCAGTGCCTCCCCTGAAAAATGAACCACTCACTCCTGCCCCACCTGCCTCCTGAGGTGGCGGGGAGCCAACAAGCAGCTAGGCAGTGAGCACTGTGGCCACCTGCCTTCACTCGCTGCCAAAGTCCCCTCTCTCCGCTCCACTTTTGTGTCCTTGGGCCTCAGTTTACCTCTCCGTTCCTGTGTTCTACCTCAAGAGCAGCCCTCTGAGTAAAGGAGAAATTGGACAAAGTACCCAGCAGAGCCTGGCATTTAAGGCTAGAAGTGTCAGCTAGCGTAGCAATTTGAATGACCTGAATAATCATAATGACCATTCCCACCTCTTGGCTTCTCTTTCCTTCTTACCTGATTTACTAAAAAACCTCATTAGCACTTTCCACTCTTAGAGTCCCTCATGCCAGGATGCAAAATCCTTCCCGAAACCAGATGGCCCAGCCCCCAATCCTCTTGTGCAGCCCCCTGATGGGGCCACCTTCTGGACTCAGCTCTGAGCTTCCTTGTCAGCCATGTCCACCTGGCATCCTTGTGTTTACAACTGTGCAGGAAGACATGGGCTACCTCAAGGAGTATAGTGAACTCCCCGACACCAGAGGCATTCAAGTGAGATCAGGTGTCTTCCGAAAAGCGATGCTGTGAAGGCCCTGCATCTGCCCTGCACAACTGATATTCACAGTGTCCAGCACATTGCAGCTCTTCAAAAGTATTTGAAGAAATACGTGCTTGGTTGGGAAGTTGTTTGGAGGCTGCAGATTATCCTTCCAAGCTGATTCTACTTGCTTTTGAATAGAATTAAGCTTAAGGAATGTGGGCATCAGAAAGTATTCATTCCATCATGAAGGGTACAGTCGGCAGACATTGGGGACACTGCCAGTGGACACTGCTGCTCCCACTGTATCTAAGACTCTCCTGTGTGTGGCTGGCAGCCGGGGGCCCCTAAAGTCCAAGACCAGCACTCAAGCGTCTGGGCTCAGGGTGGCATGTGCCAACTCATGACAAGGAACGGAGTGTGTGAGGAAGGGGAGGTCTGTGATCAGAGAAGGGGCTGGGGAGGGTAAGGGAGGAGGAGGACCAGGTGCCGCCTTACCGATCTGCAACTTTCCACACGGTGGGAGCTACCGTACTAGTGGTGGTTGGTGCAGTCGTGGTTCGCACAGCCTCCCGGGTGCCCCTGGACAACCTCTGCAGGTAAGCGGTGTAGAAGGGCCTGGATTCCACAAGTCTGTCAGGGAAGGGAACAGTGGAGGAGCGGCAGTGAGCATGGAGAAACAAAACCTCAGAGCTAACTCACGTCATGAGAGAAAGCAGGTGGCTCATCTGATGAAAATGTTTATTTGAACTTGGTTCGGTCCTATGCTGGGTGAGGTCAAAATCGGGGCACCCCTGCCTCATGTTAATCCTTCTGTTCACTGCTCATGCTGTGGGAAGCCTCCCTGATGACAGACTGAAGTCAAAATCCCTCCTGGGAAAGAGGCTGGGCCCGTGAATTCCTCAGCCTGCCCCGGAGAGGCAGTGGGACAGGGCACCTTCAGGAACAGGTGGGCCCTCTGGGGACAATGGGACTTCTGCCCGAGGACTGGATGATGGGTGTAGCGACCCTTCCTGGAGACCAGAGGTGCAAAGTGGCAGGGCGCCTCCAAGAAGCTCGCAAGCTTGCTCCAAGGTACCATAGGTGACATCACTCCCCAGGACAGTCAAGGAAGGTTGATACGCAAGTTTAAAAAACAGATAGCAATGACAACACCCCAAAGCCACTAAAATCCTCAAATTCGTTATAATCCTTTTGATTTTGTTCTCTGTTCTGATAGAGAGGAGTCCTCAAGGGCCAGAGCCGCCTCCTGGTCAGGGCCACCGGAGGGCGGGCTGTGAAGCCCAGCAGCGCGACAGGACACCTGGGGGAGCTGGCATCGGGAAGCACTGCTCTCCCCTCCGCCGTCCAGGCCCCATGTCTATCCATGAGCAGATGGCTCCCAAGTGCGTCGTCACAATCAATTTTCCCCTCCACCAACTCCAAGTGAGGAAACAATGCCTCCCCTCCCTGTCCCTGCAGCCAGCTCGCTTCTGTCCCCAGCAGGACTCCCCCAGACAGGACTGTCCCGTGCCGCAGTGACGGGGCCGGCGAGGGCGAGCGGCCGCGCGGCCCGGCCCGGGTGCAGGAGGGCGCTAATGGCCCTGCGGGGCGGCTCCCGGACATCCCGGGCCAGCCTTGGTCTCTCCCGCCCGCACGCAGGGCCCGGCGGACGTCAATCACCTGCCCGGGGAGGGCACCGAGGCACCATCTGGTGCCATTTAACGGGCCATTCAGCAGCGGGAGCCTGACAGGGGCTGCGGCTGGCCTGATTGTTTTCTCTTGGCATTTTGGAACTGGCTATTGTCTGGCTCCTAATGAACTTTTCTGCAATTAGAAAACCAAAGGGAGGGAGGGTCAGGCATATCTGAGTGCTTGCCAGGCCCGCAGCCTGCCAGCGAGTCCGTCTGTGAGGAGACGAGGATGGGGGAAGAGAGCCAGGGCCGCGGTGGGGATGGCGCAGAAGCGCCGGGACCCGAAGTGCGGGAGCCGGGTAGGGATGGGGGGCGGCGTCCTGGGCCCCGCCCCCCGGCTGCAGAGGCCCTGCCCACCCCCGCAGGCAGACATCCGCTTCTCCTGCAGAGGGCGCTCCTTGCCAGCCCATGGACTCCTCGGGTGACTTGGTATGAAAGGCTGGCAGCCTCTCCAGGTAGGAAGAAAGGAGGAACAGCAGGTAGAGGGGAGAGGGAGGCAGAGAGACACTCACACGGGGATCCGGGAGTAAGAGCCGTTCCGAAACAGCAGGTAGCAAGATGGGAAGTCGGTGACACCAAACTTGTTCACCACGGCACGCTCTGTGTTCAGGACCCTGCGCACCGCTATGCCTTGGCGCTGGGACAGGTCCAGAGTCACCTGCAGAGACAGTAGGGCATCTGGAGCGGGACAAGCCATTGGGCAGAGGGAGTCCCAGGCAGGCACCTGGGTGCCGCTGTGCTCTATTCAGGCTCTAAACCTTTCAAAGAGTAGACAGACTCTTGTAATGAATGTCTCCTGCCACCAACGGCATCTACCCCATGGTAGGAGAGCACCCACTGCCTACTTGAAACTGTGCAGACCACACATCTTGGATCTTCTAGGACAGTCCCGATTTAATATAATTTTATTTCCAATGAAAACAATTTGTAAAAGGCATAACAAAATGTGATTTCATTTTTGTTCTTTTATCTGTAAGGCTTTCTATCCATAATACAAACCAGAAAAACATAGATATGATGATTTTATTTTTAGGAGGAATTAAGAAGGAGAAATATAATATTAGCTAGTACTTATTGAGTATGTATTATATTCTGTATATAGATTGCCTCGTTTAATCTTCAAAATAGCACTTACTATGAACTAGGGACAGTTACTAGGAGATCAAACGAGGTGGCAGTGTATACCATGGCTGCTTGGGTGTGAATCCTGGCCCCACCAGACTAAACCTCTCCCGGCCTGGATTCCCTTACTTGAAAAATTGTAATAATAACAACACCAATCTCTAGGGGGCTGTTAAGAGGATTGAATGGGTTAATTTTATCCAAGTGCTTCTAACAATGACTAGCAAATAGTAAATATGTAAGTATTTGTTTAAAAAAATAAAATTCCTACTGTACACTAGACACAAAACCTGAGGCTTAGCAGTGAAATCGTGAGACTAGGTCACACAGGTATCAAGTGCCTGAGCTGGGCTATAAATCCCAGTTCCATCTGCCTCCAGAGCCGGGGCTTTTAGCCACTGGGCCCTCCAGCCTCTCCAATTACCCATTTGCTTGGACACGGGGCCCCTGCCCCTGGTTACCAGGGGACTTGGGGGAGGGCAGGGGGAAGAGTTGATTCTAATGAACATTTATTAATTACCTCTGTTGACAGGCTTGACCCCAGGCCTGGAATGGGACCCCAGAAGGTCAGGGTCAGGCACTCCTTCAGCAAAGCTCCCCACCCTCTCCCACCACCACGCTTCCCCTCTTGGGGCTGAGAGGTCTGGAGACAGCTCAGAGGGCTCAGCTGTGCTTGGTGAGTTTCAGGAGGAAAACCATTCAGGGCCAATAGCGGCGTTTCATTTCATCCCCACTCTATCTCCTTGCACTGTCTTGGAATGCCTCCTAGGCACTGGCCCATGCCATCTCTGTCTGCATCTGGGAGAAGCCCAGTACCATGAGGCAGTGATGGAATGGCAGTCTCCCTACATTAGACTGAGGATGGATCTTTATAAAGCACCTACTCTGTGCCAGCTGCTCAGCCAGGTTCTTCCCCTAAACTGCCTCATCTAGCATTTCCAAAATTGCTCTGAAGAAAGGTGATAATCACCATTTCATAGGGAAATGAGGCTCAGAAACGTTAAGCAGCATGATCACAGACATTTCTCCTAAGTGATGGAGTGGAGATTCCAACCTGCCTGGTTTGTTCTCTGCTTCACCTGGTGAGGGACCCCATTTCCTCATGAGGGACCGGATGCTCTCTGATGCTCCCTCCCCGCCAAATTTTTTCACTCCAATTCTGCAGGGTTGGGGCAGTGTGGAAACAACATGGGCTTTGGAGGGAGGGAGACCTGGTTTGAAGTCCTGCTCTATCAATTCACTGGCTGCATGATCTTCGACCTGCTATTTGACTACCTTCATTACATGTAAAATTAGCAACTACATGTGCCAGTAATCTCGTGCAATGCTCAATAAACAGCAGCTGTTACCATATTCAATTTCAATGAGGAAGATCCAAACAGAAAGGCTTTAGATAAAGGTCCAGTGCCTGCACTTCCCATTTCCCCCAGCAGGCGTCAGGCCAGTGCTGGGCTAAGAGGAGCACAGGAACAGCCCTGCTCTTGAACTCACTGGGCTCTCTCCCAATAGCTGCAGTTGCCGGAACCCTGTGAGCAGCTCACCTCTCTACCCACGTAGGAGCCTTCCTTTTCAAAGATCAGGGCCAGGTACTCTTCACTGTTTCTTGTAAAGAATCCAGTAATCTCCTCCAGCCTGCAAGAGACGATGCTGGTGATCACTCTCCACAGCCCAGCCATGGGAATAAAGCAAACCTGCAGGTGACAGCAGACGTGGCTGACCCGCCACACACATCTTCGCCTCTGTTTGCACACAAAGCTTCACAAAAGTCTCTTCATGCCAGGCCTCTGGCCAGAGTAAACCAGACTTTCACTCTCAAAAGACTCTGCCTGTTACCTACACTGGTTCTTCATTTCACCCACCTATTTGGGGGATTGTTTCAGAGCCAGCAGGGAGTGTAGGCGGCCTGGGGAGGGGACCTGGGAAGGCATGCTCTGAAGCTGTCTCTATGCTCTGGGTAAGGCCCAGGCTTAGAGGGCAGTTTTCATTGGACCCCTAAGAGACTGGTGTTTACTACCAGCCAGGCACACGCTGTGATCTGTGCCAAGTCACTACCAGCTGGGAGGTCTGCTGTTTCCTCTCCTGGAGCAGGCATAAAAAAGGAATGAAAGGATCAGAAAGTCCTCAGGGCAGGAGATCTTAGAAGTCATTTAATCTACCCTCCTTATTTTAAGACGTGGAAACTTGGGCCCCAGGACAAAGGTGGAAATTAATAAGGTAAATGTTATTACCCACCCCCAAATCAAAGAATTCAGATACAAGTGATTTTAAAAACCAAGAGTTTCAACAGAAAACAATTGCATAATATAAAAATGATGTTTCCTTATTCCAATTAAAAGCAGAACATCAGCAGACGTGTAATGGGACGTGGCATCTTCTTTTTATCCCCATCCTGATGACCCATGTCCCACCTCTGGATCCAATGACAAGGCAACAGTCACCTCCAAACAGAAGGCACAGCACAGGCCAATGAAGCCCAGCCCAGGGATCACCAGTGAGGTGGGGGCCAGAGTGTACCCTAGTGGGTGGTGTCATGGATATCAACAGCTTCTGGGGTGGTAGTGGGTGGCCTCTCAACTTCACCAGCTCTCCCCTCGGAGGGCAGAAGAGCGAGCCCCATGAAGCAGCTGTCCCTGGAGCCCACCCCCGACCCCATCCACTCCCGCCCGGACTTCTTGGACAGGCATCCGCCTTTCATCACACAGCTCTGCCTCCACCCTGAAGCTCTTTAGAAGGACCACTTTGAGAGAAGATGGCAAGTTTACCTGCTTGGTTGCTTTTGAGATTCCCTCTGGGCTGAAAAGGCGCCATGAGGGAGGTGTGGGTGTAGGAAAGAGAGACAGAGACAAGGTCATTGAGAAATGGAAGTAGTAAGGATCAGGGGACAGGCTGGCAGGGGTGTTTCCTGAGGGATGGGGTCTGGCTGTGGAGCTCCAAGCCGCACCAAGACTGTACACCAGGACCAGGGGCTCCGCGAGGCCCTCTGGGAGGATGGAGAATTGGGGAGGATGATAAAAGAATCATTGTGAGTTGGAACCAACTGCCACTTGGAAACAATCTTTCAGCAAGGCTATGGCTTTCAAGACACCAGCACACAAACTTATAGGGCCTTGAGCACCAGTGCCAGCCTTTCAGTACCTGGAACCCCTGCTGTGTTCTGTGGCTGGGCTCCCTCTAGGAGCCCCAGGTGGTATTTGGGTTTGTTCCTTCTTGGCCTCTTAAGGTGGGCTTTTCTCCTGCCCAGAATTCTTACCCAGAAGAGCAGGACCTCATGTCTTCAGTCTACCTGTCCCCTCTCTAGGAGAGTTAGGGCAAGAGACCGTGCACCTCATTGTCCTAATTGCCTAGAACAGAGGCAATCCTGGAAGCCTGCCTGGGAGGCAGACACAGATCATCAGCTGGGAGCAGAGTCACCTCCCCATCCCCCAGTCACAGCCACTGCTCAGGAAAGGGCCACCTTCACTTTACAGGGCTTTGTGCTCCTCAGCCTCCCATCCCCTTTCCTCTAAAGTGCATCTGGTCTCCCTTTCTCCTCTCCACGCCCACCCTTCTCAGTGACCCTTCCTGGGTGAGATCATGTGAAATCTTGCTGCACCCCCCCAAATGTACCTGAGCACAGGCTGTAAGCAGCAGCAGCAAGTGTGACCCAAGAAGCCCTGCCGTCCTCTCCTTCCCAGCCGGTGGGATGGGCCCTTGTACTCCCGACAGCCTCAGGAAGCTGGGGCTCCTCGGGTAGGACCTCCTACTCCAGCACCGGGAAGCCCTCCCCCAGCTGCTCCAAGCGGCCCCGGGGTCTGGCCCACTGGGACGTCTGCCACACAGGCAACAGGAAGAATCAACCTGGTCCCCGGCCCTGCTGTCCCCGCCGCCCTCTCCGGGTCAGGCCTGTGACCCTGCCACACTGCCCCAGGCCTGTCCCAACCCCCAGTACCTGGCAGGCTCCAGTGGGGGACAGGCGGAGGGCCACGTGTCATTGTGGGACTCCAGGGCGTCAATGAGCCTCTCCCGCAGCGTCTGCACATCGGCACCGGCCACTGGAAGGGAAGGTGGGACACGGAGGGGTGTGAGGGGGGGAGAGCGAGCCCCAGCACTCTCGCCGGCTTCCCTCACAGAAGCAGCGGGCCCAGGGCGCGAGCTAGTCCTGGGCGGATCAGAGCAGTCAGTCCTCCTCTGCCCAAGGCAGGTGGGGGGGCGCGCCCCAGGGGCCCTAAGCACTGCAAGGGGACCCATCCCTCAGGGCAGGAGACAGTCCCTCAGACCTGGGCCCCGAGGGCCCTCCCCACGCGCCCTGGCTGCCCCTGTGATGCCAGCCCCACTTTGACATGAACAGCTATTCCAGGAACACGGGACCCTCCTCCCTTCCTAGGACGGGTCCGAACGGAAGGGATTTTTCAGCCTTGTTTCCCCAGAGGCAGCTGCCAGGCTGGCCGGGAAGGACACTTCTAGGAAAACAGATTCGGCTGTCACGTGGGGAACTCCTCACCCCACAAGAAACCCAGGTGAAAGAGGGAGAGGAAGATGCTGACGAGGCCAACGGGCCCATGTGAGCGGGGACACCCACCTGACAGAGTAGCTCCTGAGCCGTCCTTGGAAAAGGCCTTAAAGAACTGGAAGCAAACATACAGGCCAGAGTCAGTGATCCACACAGAGCCCAGCACAACACCCGGCCAGACGGGTCTGCGTTTGAGACCCAGGAAGGGGACGGCTGTAGGGGAATCACTCAATTTTTGTAAGCCTCAGTTTCTTCATCTGTAAAGTGGGAACAGGAGGTCTCTGCTCTTGCAGGGGGACACTGGTTCCTCCCCTCGGGTCCCCACGCCCGATCCCTGGCCCCACAGCCGTGAAGCACCCAGGGAGCTCAGACACTTCACTAATGGTGGGCTGTTTCTACAAAGCATTGGCACCGAGCACGTAGTTACATAACTGGAAAATAGTTATTCTGTGAATGAATGATGTAGATCCATGTGAAAAAATAAAATGAAGTCATTTTATACCCCACCCCCCATCACAGAAAATGTTAGCTGCCCTCTGAGGTGATCTGTCCTTGCCTCTTATCTTGGAAGGAGGGCAGGGAGGCTGGCATCTCTGGCCACTGAAGACTCCCGGCCTGGCTCAACAGACACTCCAGAAAGGAGGGGTCTCCAGCTCGGTGCTGTTGAGGGGCGGGCCTGAGCCCCTGAAGAGACCTTGTTACAGATGGTTCAGTGTAACTCTTTCCCCATATACATGACACCCAGGCCCAGTCTGTCACCTCCCTGGGAGAGAGGACAGAGAAAACAGAGCACAACTCCTTAGAATCTGAGCTCCTGTCTCAGAGGTAAGCACTGCCAGAACGCTGGCCTGTGCTCTCCTGGGCTCAGGAGGGAACCGAGTTCAGCTGTCCTGTCAGACGGCCCCTTAACTGCCTGGGGAAGGGCCTGCAGGCTGGGAAGAGGCCTCTTCCTGAGGCCTAACTTCAGGGCCACCTGTACCCATCTTGGGCCTCTGCCTCCAACAGTGTGGCCATTTGGCCTTATCCCAAGCCGGTGGCTGAGTGTAGGCCCGGGGTCTAGCTGACCTGGCTGGCTGCGCTATGCTCTTGCTGTGTGACCTTGGGCAATCAATTAACCTCTCTGAACCTTCTCATCTTTAAGATGAGGATGATACCATCTACCTTGGAGAGTTGCTGTGAGGATTCAACAACAATACATCTAAAGTGCTTAGCATGGCACCTGGTGCCTATAGTAAGAAATCAGTAAATGTTATCAGCATTATTCCCTTCCCCTGATCCTACCTTTTAAACACCAGGAAAACAATGATCAGCTAGATTTGTTTGTTTTCAGCCATTTGTAGGCAGAAAACTAAAATCTGGGGGCCAGCTGCCCCCCTTTCCCACAAAGATGCAGAGAAACTGCCCACTTCTCCCCACCTGCAACCTTCTCCTGCTGCCTCTGACCTCACCTGGACCCTGACTCCTGCTCACGGCCATTCTCTCTCTCTATTTAGAGCAGTAATATAAACTTTTACTCTGGGTGAAAACCATCCACTGATACAGGTCATGTACATTCATAGTGTTCTCTGCAGTTACTGAACACGTTGTGAATTAATAAAATTATGTTATCCTCATGCTTGTAAAAACGAGCACAGATTTCCTGGATTGTGACTTGAGATCAAGCAGATAAAGCACATTAAGGCATTTATGGACCAACGTTGTTTCTCAGAAACAAAATGAAAGATGCACCTATCTGGGGTTTGGTTTGCTCACAAATAGTAACCCAGAGGAAGATCTTTATATCTGCAGCTTTTCACAGTGACAGTGCCCTGGCTTCTGTATAGACAGAACAGACTTTAACTTGCTTCCATAGACATAAAAACACTGACATCATGAGGCCTTAAACCGTGGCTTTCCCATAGCTGCTACAATCGCCACTGTCAGTTACTGAAAAGTAGCACGGTAACTCTTCTTCTCCAACCATCAGGTCACCCAAATCTGAGTAGGTGCCATATTCAAAGGGGCTGGCATTACCTCCATCAAACAGTGGTGTCCCCAGACCCCGCTGAGCCCCGGCAGTGTGGAGATGGACAGGAGCCTCTGTTAGGGGAGGGCAGGAACTCTGAGAGCTCCCCTCCTTCACGAGATGCAGGGCTACAGGGACGGCCTCCCACCTCCCTCCAGTTGCTTCTGCCATGCAGCCTTCCCTTCTGTCCCCAGAAGCTTCCCAGCCACCTTCCAGAACACTGTCTCCCCCTGAGCTCTGGTTCCCACACCGCACACTCCATAGAATGTTTTTCTATCAGTTAATTTGTCTTCTTTCTCCTTATCTGCCAGCTCCTTCCTATGTCTACAAATAGATTCAAATCCTCCCGAAGTTAAAAAAAAAGAAAAAGAAAAAGAAAGGACAGGAAGGGAAGGAGGATGGGAACAGAGAGGCTGGCCCTCCTTCAGTTGCTGCATGTCCCCTGTCTATCCGCTCTCACTCCTCAGGACTTCCTCTCCCTTCCTTCCCATAAAACGGGCTGTGGCTCGTGCCCCCACCACGCAGCCGTGACTGCTCTAGGGCAGCCCAGCTGCCCTTCTCTTTGGTGGGTCCCCTGACCCTCCGGCCCTTCCTGCTCTCTCTGCAGTATCTGATGCTGTCGCAGCCTGCTTCTCCCGCCTCGGCCAGGATTTGTCATTTTCTGTGCCACATCTTCCCAATGCTCTCCTTCTTTGCCTTCATGTCACCGCCCTCCCTTGGTTTGCCTGACATTTCCCAGCCTTCTTGGCCACCTTCACAGCCTTCCCCTCACCCTTGTCCCAGCCTCGCCCTGGACTCCTCTCCTGTGCTGTGGCCCTCGCCATCTCCTGTCCCCAGTCTCTTCTCCAGCCACAAGTCAGGTCATGACACTTTTCTGTTTAAAAAGCCCTGGGAGGCACTGTCACAGATGAGGGGCTCAATCTGAATGAATGAGTGAATGAATGGGTGAATGTACAGACCCATTGTTTGCCTCCCTTGTCAAGGTCACCTACTTGGTCTAAACGGTTTGTGATCTGAACCACCTGTCTCAGGCCCTCTCCTGTCTTAACTTCTGTTTCTTCCAGGTGTCAGGGGACTGCCCCCCCCAGTACACACACTCTCCAAGACTGAGTCGCCCCTCCCCCAACCTGTTTCTCCACCTGTGTTCCTTATCTCACGAGTGATCATTCTCCTCCCTGTCACCCAGACCAGCAGCTCCCTCTTCCACAACCCCATCACCCAGTCAGTCGACAAGTTCTCCCAAATTGACCTTTGTGATCCTTCTGCAGTCTCTGAGACCAGCTGCCTTATCTAGACCAGGACCTACTTTCTGGACTCCAGCAAATGTCTCCACCTGTGCTGCCCTCACGACCTCAGCAATGTTAACATGCTCCATCTTTTCATTCTGCAGCCTCACTGCCACCCTGCTTAGGTCTCTAAGGCATAATTCTGGTCTGATCATGTCACCCCCTCCTCAAATCCCTTCCACAACTCCCCACTGCCAGTGAATAATGGCCTTCCAGGATCTGACCCCACTTACTTTCCACTGCCCCTCAATTCCCTTCATTTCAGCTATGGTGGACTTGAACCTGAACTTTCCACCCATCCACCTCCCACCTGGGAGGGCAGGACCATCGCTTATTCAACTCTACAAGCCCCACAGCACCTGGCACAGTGTCTAAGACGTGGAAACACTCAAAGGACATCTGTTCAGTTGAACAGAGAATCTCTGCCCTTTGATCATCTTGGAAACTCATGTAAAAATCACATCAAAATCGAGTCAGGGCACATTTTTGTCCTCTTATTAATATGCATCCTTGTTAAGTCAGCTGTTGGAGGCGTATGCCCTACGCAAGAGAAAACACCACCACTCCTTGGAAACCGGCAATTAAAGCTCCGGCGGTGAGTTTTCTTTCCTCCAGGAGAAGTCAGTGCCTGGTCCCTTTCCTCTCCACACTTTACACAGGAGCTTCTGCCTTCCCCATCCGTGAAGACTCTGAAATCCTCCACGTCTCCCCACAGGCTGGTGGCCAGACAGCGTTGGGCAGACCTTTACCAACCTATCCAGGAGCAGCCCCCCTCCCGGGGGTCAAGTAAGGCTAAACAGAAAGCACACTTTCCAGTGGTGACCGTCAATGGCATTGAATCCAAGCTCTTAAAACAAGTTTTAAGAAAAATGATCTAGTCTCCTGCAAGGACCTACAAGCTTAAGCATTCCTGCCTCGTGGACCGTCAGTGGAGGAGACGCCTGGGAGAGGGCAGGTGACTGCTGAGAGGAGGCCTATTTCCTTTTTCTAGAGAGAGTCAGGAGACGTCTTTCTGAGTCCTGTCCCCTCCCCAACATCTCACCATCTAGCAAGAGCCACATAAAGTAACAGCCCAGGCTCCGCACTCCCCATTCCCAGCCTTGAACTCAAGGACCTGCCTTCACTGGGCTCCCTCCTTTCAGAGCCCTGCCTCAGGCCTGCACAGGAGCCTCTGCTCCAGCCAGACCAGCCTTCTCAACATGCCGTGGAGCTCCGCCCACATCCTCTGCTCTGACATCCTCCCCTGCCCATGCCCCTCCGCTCTCCTAGCCAAACCCCATCCATCCTTAACACCACGTGGAAGTCCCCCTCCTCTCACGTGCATGCCTCTCTGATGTGGGTGGGAAAGAGCTCAGTGAGGCCAGGCAGACCCCTCCCAGTGTTCACATGTGCATATCCCTCCCTGCCTGCCAACTAGCTGGGAAGCTCCACCTGCCCCTGTGCACAGCACTTTCCTGCCTGGCCGGCCTCGCTTATGTTTCTGGCCATGGCTTATGTGCCTGGCCTCTCTGTGATGGAGAGCACAGGGCCGCACCCCCAGCAAACATTCACCCAACAGCGGCTGATGGATGGACTGCTTCAAATGCGGTAGCACACAGGGGCCACCACGAGCCCAGAGGGCAGCAGGAAGAAAGACAGCTAATGTTTATGGAACTGTGAGTGACGCCACAGTGTCTTTCACTTCACACTTGGCAACAATCCCGTTAGACAGACAGTATCATCTCATTTCTCAGACAAGGAAACTGAGGCCTGTGGCTGGGGCACTGTTAAGTGACTTCCTGAGTCACTGTCAGTGAGCAGTGGAGCCAGGATATGAACCCACATCAATTACCTCCTCAGAATCTTGTAAAGGGAGGACATCCGCCCTCCCCCCCCAAACTGCTGCTTCCTATAAACTCGATCCCAACCAGGTCTTTGGCTACACACGGTCCTGTACCATTACCCGCTGAGGGATATTCCCGGGGCCCATGGCAAAGCTCCTCCCCCAGAGGTTCCAGCCTCTAGGCCCCCAAGCACAGCCAGAACCTGCTGCAAGCTAGGCCCGCCCTCTCTCTCGCCCTCTCTCTGTTCCCTTCCAGCTGGGCACCGGCTCCAGTCCTATAGGCCCTGACACAGCCGGCCCGCCCTGCAGGGCCTGGTGTTTGCTAAACAGGCTGGGCTGGTGGAAGCTCACTGTTTGCTCATGGTGACAAGGGGCAGGAGGCAGAGGAAAGGGAAGATGACACATATCACTGGGGGTGGCCAGACTCTTGCGTGAGCACGTCCCCAACACACCAGCAATGCTCTCTCTTCCCTTGTTCAGCGCATGTCCCCATCTTACAGCTCTCACAGCCGTTATGGGTATGAGCGAGGACAGGCTCCAGTCCCCAGGGGACAGCAGACAGGGGAACGGGGCAGTCTCTCTGGCCTGCTGGCAGCCAGGCCCACCTCCAGGGTCTGCACTGCTTTCTAGGGAGTCCAGCCACGCAGCCCACAGGCACAACCGGCTCCTAGTGGGCCAGACTCTCTGAAGATCTGGAATCTGAGCAGTGCTTTCCAAACACTAGGAGCAATCCAGTGGTGAGTTGTAAAATCAATTTAGTGACTCAGTAGTTTTGAAAAATAAATAGAACAAAATATCAGCGTGTCCTGCACTTACTAAGAATATTGTTCTATGAATCATTTGTTCTAGGGATAGCAGATACAAACCAACTTCTGGAGCTCACTGTAAGCATTGTAGGTCACAGTAACAAGTGTTTGAAAGCCACTGTATCGGGCCTTAGAGCAGAGCCCCGGCTTGAGCCACTAGCACCCTGGACCGGAGCCCCAGGGACAGGGCATGGAGGGCCTCTCCCTGCCGAGCTCAACTGCAGGCTCTTTGGGAAAGGCAGGGAGGGCTTGGCCGCGGGAGGTCACAACACTGGTCTGTGAAGTTCTTAAGAAGTGGACAGGTGACTACCAGCCCAGCTCAGCTCAGCCAGGTGCCACCCTGTATGGAGGCAGGGCAAGGTCAAGGAGACTGGCTCAGGGCCCTCCCAGCTCCCCTCCCACAGACGGCAGGGCGGTTGGGAAGATGATTAACCACTCGAGGCATTCAGGCTGCGTGTGCTGCGTGACCCAAGCGGGAGCTGAGGAGCTGGATCTCCTGACGTCCCTGGGCCGCCTCCTTCACACCCACTGGGCCCCAGCGTCTCCCAGGCAGAAACAGAAAGCCCTAGATGCCAGGCCTCGGGGAGCCACCACAGGGTGTCCTGACCTGGCCATGGGACCAATGTCGACCCGCCTTCCCAGGGGCTGGGCAGTGGCCCGACCCCTGTGCGGAGTCCCCACTGGGAGAAAAACACCGGCCTGTGAACAGAGATTCCTGCTGTCACAGTGGTGTCCCCCCCCACCACCACCCCCCTAGCCTCCCACGAGGCCGCTGCTGCTGGGCCAGGCTCTGCAGAAGGAACAGAGTGCCCCAGCCTCCCTCAGGGGAGTAATTTTGAATATTTTAAGTTACATATCTCGAGGCCAAGGAGAGGGCACTGGCTCTGCCGGGAATTCTTTTACTTGAAAGAGATGATTGATAAACAACGTTTCCACTGCCACTTCTAACCGATACTGCTCACAACGTGTCCCCAGGCCAGTCCGGCCCCGGCTGAGAGGGGCCGTGGGCCCTGACCCTAGGTGGTAACAGGAGCACAGGAGGGAGCTCCAAGGAGCCATGGCTACCCTGAGCCCAGCAGCACTTCACTGACTGTGAGAACAGAAAGGTCACATGGAGTTAGAGCTGGAAGACGCTGGGGGAGCCTGGAGCCTTGCTCTCCAGACGAATTTCTCGGCGTCATTATCCTCAGACAGGGCTCATGGCTCTGCCTGGAAACAAGCCCCCGTACTCAGAGCTTGTTCCAGGACAGTGCTTGGCCGTTCGGTTTTCAGAGTCATTTCCTGATTATTAATGGTACAGGGGAAACTGCTTTTCTAGATGCCATTCTGGTGGGAGCACACTAATTACTTATAGCTGGAGGTAGAGAGAGCGCAATCCGGATTTGGATTCTTTCATTTGGAAGGGAACTAATTGGATTACAGCCGGGCCTGAGCCCCGGGGAGGGCGCTAAGTATAACGGCATAGCCTTGCTGCTCTGGGCGTCCCAGAGCCTCCGACATGAGAGCCTTGGAAGTTGTCCAGATGTTAATTAAGTGGTGATGCCCCGCGGTGGGCAGGCTGGCAGGCAAGGCACCATCGGAGACCTCGTGCTACTTTCAGAGCCAGGGTGACGGGGCCTCATGTGTTGGGTGTGACGACTCCCATGATGGGGATCCCTGCAGCCTGAGGCATCAGGGTAAGTCACTTCCGAGCCACTTGGGTTCAAGGCTACTCACCTGATGAGGACGAGGCTTGAGAGTGTTTCTGGGGTCCTTTCCTAGGGGACCATGAGACCCCCCGGTGTCTGATCCTGCCCACGGATGTGTCAGAGCCTGAACCCTGGTCTTATAGGGTTTAAATCAGCCCTCTAAGGCTGGGAGGTCAGGTGGAAGAGAACTGGAAAGAGGCCCCTGGGAGCTGGGAGCTCTCACCAGCCTGGGTGATGATCACTGCACGGCTGAACTCTGCCCATCCCAACACACCCACACAGCCCCTTGCCCTTAGAAACGGGAGAATGTGCCAGACCAAGTGAACCTCCTTCTCTTCTGCGTCCCAATTCATATCCCTTTCTGCCTCTAAAACAGGTGTCCCATCCAGACACAGTGTTCCAGGCGCTGTGACTTAAACAAGTTGAGCCCAGACGCCTGGGAGGATCCCCCCACCCCGCCCCTCCCAGAGCTCAGCAGCCAGGCGGATGCCAGGGAGGCACGGGGCAGCTGGCAACGAGCCCCAACAGCGCTGTCCCCCAGGCCCGCTCTCCCCTCAGAGTCACACACCCTCACAGTCGGGAAGCCAAGGATGTTGAAGTCTCTGCAGACGGCACTGTTGGTCTCATCCGCACAGTCCAGGACAGCAAGATTCAGGGCTGGCCTCCAGCCTGAAAGGACAAAGAAAAAACGCCCCCCATAACCCAAGGTAAGTAAGAGGGACTGGCCCTTCTGCCTGCTCACCCTGCCCCCATGGCACCTGCTCCAAACTCTTATGAGAAAGGCCACTGCTTCCTCAAACAAGGACCTCTGAGATAGTCGGGTTATTCTGCCATTGGCCCATGCTTAGGACACAGTTAAGCAGCACCAGCAACCCACTCAGGACAGCAGTGCTGTCTTGTAGTGACATCCGTGTTCTGCATTATTCTACAGTGGGGGAGGGGCGCAGGGGCTGGAGGAGCTGAAGAGAGGTGTGAGATGAGCCTGCCCTCCTGGCGAAAGGCCTCTGGGACCCTGCCTCTGTCCCCGCTGTCCTTTACAGAGGATCAGTTCCAGATGGGTGAAGAGCAAGCCTCAGGAGTTTAGGATTCCCCAGGGGACCCTCGGTGAAGACTTCTGCAGCCAGAGGAACTGGCAGCCAGCCCAGCTTGGGTGGATGGGACATAGAGTGTTGGGGACTGGCTCCCTGCCAGAGATGGAGGCAGGAAGTCTAGGGGAGGAAGGGGAAGACACCTGGGGTCTAGAAGCCACGGCAAAGAAGCCCTGAGGCCAGAATCTGGAAGGAGATGAATAGCTCTCAAGGCTGGCTGCCTGGGCACCCTGCTCCTTCATCCCAGCCCTAGGCCACAAGCCCTCCCTCGGCTGGAACTTACTGGCAGAGAGAATAATGGCACGGTTCAGGGCCACTGCCCAGGATCTGGGAAACAGAAAACAAACTCATCTACCGGGCAGGCCTCCTGAGCTCTGGTTCCAGCTCAGGTGCCCCTGGAGCACCCACCGAAGTGCCATGTCACAGTGAGGCTGTTCCCGCTGCCGGGGAACATGCACAGGAAGGCCGCACAGACGTGAGGTGGCTATGGACTGGTGCCACGCTGTGTGGCCGCAGGAGAGATCAGCCCTGGAGATCAAGAAGGGGCCTGGCAGGAAAGGTGGAAATCAAGCAGAGCCTTGACTGTCAGTTGAGGTGTCAAGGGACCAGGGAACCAGGGACCCAGGCAAGCAGTTGAGGAGAGGAGAATAGAACGGGCAGACTTAAGGACTCTGACAAGACCTGGCGGGGCTGCAGAGGCTGTCGCCAGCTGGGAGTGGCAGCCCAGGGGTTCTGGGCTGACTCCCACAGTACCCCGGAGCACGGGCATCTCTGGGCAGATGCGGGAAGGGGGAAGCCTGCCCGAGGAGTGTGGGGGCACATATACTCCCCAGAGGGCCGTACTCCTCCCTTCTGGAGTACAGGATGGGGCAGGGGGATTTACACAGGCAGCCAACCAGAACCCACTAATTACAGGAGACTAATATCCAAATAACACCCCTGAGACCACAGCTTCACGAGGACCTCTTACCTCGCCCCAGAACCTGTCCCTTATGACAACTGAAAAATCACTACTTCCAAAGGCATCAGAGCTCCCAAGAACCTTTTATGCCCAGGGGAGGAGTGTTACCCTCACTTCCACGACAGACGCACGAAGAGCCAGGATACCTCCCAGACACCCCTGACCCATCACCATCCCTCAAAGGAAAGGTCCCGAAGGTTCAGAGCAACTAAACTGGTCCTTCCTGGGGTGACACAAGGGAGGGGGTTTGGGGCTGTGAGGCAGGCTGGCTGTCCCTCCTCCCCCTTTCCTTTCTTGCTAGCAGTCTACCCTTGGCACTAAATCCTGGCATGAGGGACGCAGTGGGGACAGGGTGGGCTAGTGGGTGAATGGAAGTGTTCAGCAGACTGGTGAGCCACATCCTATGATGCCATTTCCCCAACACTCCCAACCCCTCACCTCAGCAAACCCCTTCTGCGGAGCTCTCTGCTCCTCTGGCACAGGAGGGCAGCGTTTTGAGCTGCAAATACCTGCCAGCCCAACTGGCCCGTGTCCTTCAGCTTTACATCCAGCTGGCAGGGCAGCCTGTACAAACACAGCTGCGGACAGCGGTCAGGGTCTGCTCCACACCGGGCTTGGACAGCATCCCTCCCGCCCTTCCTGACACTCTGCTCTCCCCCCACTGTCAGCACCACATGGGAGGGGCAGAGTCAGGCCGTCCAGCCACGCGGAACCGCTGATCCCAGCCAGCTTCCGTGTCCTGCCATCTTCCCTTCCAGGTCTCTTCCTGCCCACGCCCATATCTCCTCTCCCTGCTCCTACATTCTCTACCTCTAACCACCCTCCTAGTGAGCTAGTGCCGGGTTTCTTAGGACAGCTCCTGTCCAGATGAAGTGTCTTATTTCCCTCCTGGCCGAAGTTCCAGTATGCTCTATCGGTAGCCTACCCAGCCCCCGGTGACCTTTTCCATCTGTGGATCTGACTGCATCACTCTCTACTCAATATTCTTTGATGGCTCCCATTGCCTTTAGAAGAAAACCTGCAGGCCTAAGACCATTCTTGATCTGGGCCCTCCCCACCCACCCAGTCTCCTCCTAACTTCCCCCAATTATGTTCCAGGAATCCTGTGGGTCTTCTTCTTTGAAAGCACAATGCTTGTCCAGGCCACTCCCACAGCCACCCTTACCCACCCAACAAACTTCCGTTTGTCAGGTACGACTCAGTCTGAACAAGATTCTTCCCCAGGAAGAGTTGCCTTCCAAGCGCCAGGCTCAGGCCCTGTTCCTGTTTCTACCACTCGGTTACAAACCTGTCCATCCCTAAGTGTCTCTTCGTTCTCACATCCTCACTGCCTAGCTTCACCACTGTCCTGCGCACAAGAGGTGCTCAGTGACTACTGTCTGAATGAGACAGTCCACTCAGCCCAGGGGCTGCTCTAGTTCTGGAGCATCTTCTCTCAGCCTCAGTCTGTCCTCAGGCCCAGGTAGGGGATGAGGCTAATGCCAGTCACCTGCCAATGCAGGAGAAGCGAGCTGTCCAGGGGCAGGGTTTTGCCTGGATCACAGCAGAGCACCCCAGGCCTCTGTTCTATGGCTTCTCCCTTGCCTGGAGGCAGGGAGCCCAAGGGAGGATGGGAAACACAGGTCACCCCACACAGCCATCTGGCACATTCCAGGCTTGGCTCCTTTGGTTCTGCACCCAGGGCTCTGGTCACTTTGTTCGGGGAGACCCACAGGAGAGGCCAGCTGTTCTCAAAAGTCAGTAAATCGATTAGACATACGGGTGGGAGAGAGGCAAGTTTGTGTCCCTCCACCAGTGAGGGCCCCTGGCAGCGGCTCTCACAAGGCCAGCTTGGCGAAGTGACCAGGGACAGCAGGCCTCAATCGCTCCTGTCCTCGCTGAGAGAGCAGGCACCATCCCTAGGGCCAGAGGGATGACTGGGGCACAGAGACTCCAGAAACAGGAAGGGAGAAGACTGAAAGCTAGTGTCCAGTGAGCGCCGGGCCACACTCTAGGCTTTCACACTCCACCACCGCATTGGGGGTGGCCACCATGTCCCCCACTTTACAAATGACAACAGAGACCAAGAGGTCTCCAAGTTGTCCAAGGGCTACCAGACTTAAAACCCACTTTCTTCCCTCTGCCTCACCAGGGTCACACGCTACCTTTATATTTTTGCTGTTTGCTCCAACCACAACCTTTCCAGTGAGAGAAAGAATGGTATAAACAGTCTTATCTTCTAGTTACATACCATTCTCTGTAACTCACAGCAGTCGGTCAGGACCACAGACTCAGCCCTTTCTTAGATGAGGATGATACCGCGCACACAGAGGGTTTACCGAGTGCCTAATTTACGTAGTTTAGTGCCTGCAGCTACACTGTGAGGAAAGTAAGAAGGAATTTTTCCTTTGCCCGGCTTTCCTGGACTGTAAAATAGAGATCGGATAACTGTGCCCAAGGCACATAACTAATCAGCAGTGAATGTGGGATCTGAACCCAGGATTTGAGCCTCCCTGCTGGTCTCAAGAGGGCCCGGGACACAAAACAGAGAAGCTCTGTTGCTTCCCAACCAGGAAACTCAAGAGGCGGTGGGTGGGGTGGGCGTTAGTAATGGGGGACGAGGGGGAGCTAATGCCTGGGAATTCTCAGCCCCTGGCTCCTGGAAGGTCTTCGATTCCTCTTTATGCCTTGATTCCTGGGACCTCTGTGGAACAGAACATGCCTCCTCTTACCAGCCTCAGCCCCAGGGAGAGGTGGAGGGGGAGACTGGGGCCAGTCAGGTGCTGGGAGAGTCTTGGCTGAGGAATGTTTCTCAGGAATATCAATGTCAATACCTTAATGAGCCATAATGACCTACAAAGATCTGGTCCGACACTAATCACGCGGGCCTGACTATTCATCATGCTAACAGTACTGGGAACAGAGAGCACCCTTATCTGGGCGCTCCACTGCTAAAGCAAAGCTGCATTTCAAACGAAGTGCACTGCTGTCAAAGAGGCACAGAACTGGGTGAGAGAGGCTTTTTAAAGTGACTTACTACCACAGCCTGCACGCCTGACACAAAAGAATCAGCAGTCTCTGGGGGAGGAAAAACTTTCCTGGTGCAATTACTGCCCCGGCGAAGTAATCTCTCCACTGGCAACAGAGTAAATGAGCAAATGGAGGGGGGAGGCAGGGAGGCAAGCGTAGGTGGGACAGCTGTGGACTTTGGGGTGGTGGGGGAGGGGACACGGTGATGAAGGGGGATGGGATCCTGCTGGAGCCAAAGGCAGTGCCCCCACCCCCACTCACAAGGCCAGGAAGGGGCACTAGACTCAGAGTCACAAGATTTGCTTATAGCTATTAGTGGTCAAAGCACCATCAGCTCCACATGTCCCCTCTCTGGGCCTCAGTTTCCCAGGATGGAGGTCTCTCAAGTCCTATCCAGCCATCTCTGACAACCACTCAGGTGCCGGATGGCAAAACACTCTTGCCAAGAAGGGACGTGAGGCCTCTGAGCATTAAGCAGCCTGGTCCTCTGCTAAGGCAGACACCGGACCCTCCCCAACCACCAAGAAGCAGTAGGGTTGAGAGGTGTCTCTGGGAACCCTCCCGGCACAGGGAGTTGGCCAGTGCTACGCCGTCACCATATCCCTTCCTCCTTGTTGCGGGCAGGCTTCTGGGCAGTGAGGTCATGACATGGACAAAATGCCTTCCCTACCCCTCACACCCGGCTGACACCCCAGGTCTGAGTCAAGAGGAGCCACAGCAATAGCAGAAGGCCTGGTTACTCACAGCCTCGTCTGGAATCCCTCAAGGCTCACAGCATCGGTCTGCCTGAGTGTTCAGTGGCTGCTACCCTGGGCCAGGCCCTGTGCCAGGACCGCAGGGGTACAAGCAGGAGAGGTGGACCACGCCCTGGGAAAGAAAGGGGGGGCAAACCCACACTGCTCACTGTCACTCAACATCCCTGCCTTACAAATCTCATCTCCACGGCTCTGCGCAGGCCAAAACTTCTCCCACCTGGAGTATCCTTCCTCCTTCCCCACCTCTCCACCTGCCCAGGCTCTGGAGAGGCAGAAAGCTGGGCTCTAGAACCTCCTCCAGCATCTGTGTAAACTTAATCAAGTTACTTATCTGTTAAAAAAGGCTATCTATTGCTCAGATGTTTTTCATAAAGATTATATATAACCGTGGCCTATAAAGGCCCTTAGCTCAGTGTCTGGCGTAAGGCAAGTGTGTAGTAAGTAACTCCCTGGATGAAGGCCTTTGGTGACCAGGCTGTGACTTTCTCCTTCCCTGAATTCCCACAACAGGAAATGGCTGAGCTAACTTCTTTGACCCTTTTCAAACACAGCTTCTCATTGGTGTCAATTTCCCTGCTTTGTGATGCGTATTTACTCAATAGTAATGTAAACAATGCTTTGCACAAAGAGGTCACTCAACAAATATTTGCTGATTGATTAGCAAGTGAAGAGGACTGAAGGTCTAAAATGAACACAATCAATTTCCCAAACATATTGTGAGGCAGTAAGAGCTGCTCTGGAATAGGAAGGGGTGAGCCAGGTCATCAGAAACAAGTGCTGGGCCCCAGGGTAACAACTGCCCCAGAGAACCTAGCCCACAGCTACTGAAGAAATGAGCCCTGGCCAGCCAGATTAAATGAGGCCAGCTGGGCAGGACTGCAAAATTCTTCTCTCCCCCCATAACCTTCCATCGTCTCACAGCTCCCACCCAAGATGCTCATACTAACGGCAGAGGGCAGGGGCCACAAGCCCATGGTGGTGTGAGGGCAGCCCTCTGCTGGCCCTCAACCAAACGTTCTCAAGGACCCTCAGAATGCAGAGATGTTGATGGGTCTCTCCAGGAAAACACCCCTTGGATGAGAGTGGAAGCATTCCTTATCACTGCAGGCCAACATCAGAGCTGGCCAGTGCCCTCCCCCAACATCATCTTGCTCAGGGGACTGACACCCCAATGGCTCATGGGAGACCTCCAGTTTTTACCTAAACCTCCCATTTCTCATGGGCTGTGGTTCATCCAGACATTTTCCTTTGAGGTTAAGTTTTAATTTTGCTTTTTTTTTTTTTTGCGGGGGTAGGGGGACTGTCATTCCATGCAATGGGGAGAAGACTCCTTTGGGAAGTGGCAAACCTCAAGCAGGAGCAGGTTGGGTCAGTACCTGGATGTACAGTTCATTGGAAAATTCTGGGTTGCAAGAGGCCAAACTCATGAGTCAGCTGTAAGCTAATCTTTCTGTCCAGCACTCTCCAGATACAAGAATCTTCTAGGTTGAGTCCATCAGCAGCCATTAAGGACCTCTTATGGCCTCAAAGTGGAAACTGATCTAGGGATTTTTATGATGTTCAGGCCCACAGTGTCCCTTGAACACCTAGGTGTTTCAAGTCCACATTCTTCCTACCTCCTGCCCTGATCAGATGTGTTGACATCACTGAAATAGTGTGAAGAGCTGCTGAGAAATGGCACATTCAGGTGATGGGACCAGAGAGGCATGCAGACAAACGTCACCTTGTAATTTGGAGGGAAAGTGGTTTATCAGTTTTGTTTAAAAATAACTTATCGATGCTCAATATCTCTAATTATCAGAGAAATGCAAATCAAAACTATAAGAAGGTTCCACCTCACACTGGTCAGGGTGGCCATCATTAAAAAGTCCACAAACATTAAATGCTGGAGAGGGTGTGGAGAAAAGGGAACCTTCCTCCACTGTTGGTGGGAATGTAATTTGGTGCAGCCACTATGGAAAACAGTATGAAGATTTTTTTTTAAACTCAAAATAGAGTTACCATATGTTCCAGCAATCCCAATCCTGGGGATACATCTGGAGAATATTCTAACTCAAAAAGATACATGCACCCCAATGTTCATAGCAGCACTATTTACAATAGCCAAAACATGGAAGCAACCTAAATGTTCATCAACAGATGACTGGATAAAAAAGATGTGGTATATATATATACAATGGAATACTACTCAGTCATAAAAAAGAACGAAATTATGCCATGGTATATATATATACAATGGAATACTACTCAGTCATAAAAAAGAACGAAATTATGCCATTTGCAGCAACATGGATGGACCTAGAGATTAACATACTAAGTTAAGTAAGTCAGACAGAGAAAGACAAATATCATATGATATCACTTATATGTGGAATCTAAAAAATGATACAAACGAACTGATTTACAAAACAGAGACAGGCACACAGACATAGAAAACAGACTTTAGGTTACCAAAGGGGAAAGGAGGGTGAAGGGATAAATTAGGAGTTTGGGATTGACATATACACACTACTATGTATAAAATAGATAAAACAATAAGGTCTTACTATATAGCACAAGGAACTATATTCAATATCTTGTAATAACTTATAATAAAAAAGAATATGAAAAAGAATATACATATCTGTATAACTGAATCATTATGCTGTACACCAGAAGCTAACACAATATTGTAAATCAACTATACCTCAATTTTTAAAAAAAGTCACACACAAAAAAATAACTTTCCAAGACCATATGGCTAACAGATGGGTACATTTCTTCATCCAGCCACCTGAGGAACCACTGCGCAAACTGCTCAAGGGAAGAGGTAGCCTAAGTTTGAAAACCAACATCTACAAATGCCCTGCTCTGTTGCAAACAGCTGGGTTTATCAAGCGCACAGCAGGGGAACAATGGTTCCAGTCCTCCTCTCTTCAGGAAGAGGCCAGTTCCCTAAGATGCCCACAGTCCTCATTCAGTGACCACTGAAGGTCAGAGTTTAGCACCACAATCAGGAAGCAGCTCCATTCAGAGGCAGCAAATCAGAAGCAAACCACTACCACTACACCACACCTGCCCCCCAAATACCCAGTACCTGGGCTAGGCAGATGTATGACACCACAGGGATCTTTAACTGGGGAAAGGACACTCTGAGATAATGTACGTCAAGGAAGGTGTCTGATGTATCATATAGTAAGCACTCAATAAATACTGATTATTATTGTTGCCATATTTACTCAGCTCCAAATGTTATGTTTTTTAAAATGCTAACATTTCTGTAATATAGTACACTTTAAATCTCTATACATCTATTAGTGGTCGTCTTTTCCCTCTACCTCTCAGGCTTTTAGTAAATGAACGGTGGGGCTCACAACTCTTAGAATCTCTTAGAATCAAGGAAATACGGTATTAGTGGTCAGGCCAATGAACGGGGAAATGGAGCAAGGGCCAAACACCTGAGTTGCGCCTCTGGGTTCATGGGGTTAAAGCAGAAGGATCTGAGAGGGCGCATGGACGCAGCGAAGACGGAGAAGGGTGTGACACAGAAGCAAAGGGGCTGGAGGCAGGAGGTCAGGAGAGGCCTGGAGTCGAGTCAGGGAAACTCTGTCTCAAAGACAAGGCTGAGAAAGGAAGTCTATGGACCAGCTGGGTCAACTAGGGGTGGAGAAAGAGGCAAGGGAGTAGGGATAGGGCAACGGCGGAATAAGTATCAGTTCCTTTTCTCTCCAGCACTGATCTCACCGCAGCTGGGGAACTTGGTAGGAAGGGGGACGGCCACAAGGTTGGACTAGAGGAAGCCATAAGGTGTCAGCGAGGAGGAACAAAGGAGACCACGTCGCAGGGATGGGGCAGTAAGCCGGCAGAGGAATGACTAGAAAAGAAAAGCAGGTCTGGGTACCCAGGCCGCGGAAATGGGAGAGAAACTCCGGGCACTGGCCAAGGGGAAAGACAGGGAGAAGCAAGAGCTAAAGATGGAATTAAGAGCCGCGAAACTGGGCGGGGGAGGGGGAGAAGAGGGGGGTAGAGAGGAAGACAGGCGGAGGTGATGGGCAAGGGAAAGCGGGCGGTGCCGGAGGGGCCTCCGCCGGGCAGGTGGGGGCATCTGTCCCCGTGGCGAGGGGAGCGGGCCTCCCTCGCCTCCCGCTTCTCACCTTTGACGTCGTCGGCCAGCGCCTTCCACGTCGGGGCGAAGGCGATGCAGTGTCCGCACCAGGAGGCGAAGAACTCCACCGCCCAGGCGCTGCGGGAGCCCTGCACGGCGCGGTGCACGGTGTCCGCCCGCAGCAGCGTCAGCGGGTC